GGTGTACAAGGACACTGCTGGCCACACCAGTGAGCCTGGCTGACCTTCCCCACGTCTGAGTTTTCAAAGCACAGAGGGCTGCCAGCGGTGGTCCTTGTCTCCAGGCATACATCAGAATCCCTGCTGGGGCTTCTTCTGGGCTCAGTGGCCTGGTCGGAGGTGCAGGTCAGTAGGCCTGCAGGGGGCTGTGGCATCTAGACATCCCAGTGGCTTCAGATGAATTCCTGATGTACAGTGGAGGTTGAGAGCCACTGGCCCAGAGGCACTGAAGACAGACTTTTGGCTTAGGTGTGGACTTGCATCGATACGCATTCACATGTGTGTGCATCTTTTTAGATTCTGAGACCTGGGATCAGGGTGTGGGCTTTTTGTAGTCTCAGAAACTGATATGCCCCTTAAACATAACAGAGATGGCCTTTTTATAATGGTGATGAGGTTGGCAATGCAAGAAAAGGAAATAGGCGCCCTGTTTAGGTCTTCTTGTAGCTGAGCCTTCTTACCAATGGCTCCAGTTAGTCCACGGCCTTGCCTTTAAGTTCCATCTGACATCTTAGCGGGGTGGGGTGGCACCCCTAGAAGCTAAGTTAACCAAGCTGTTTTCCTTTCCCTCAGGGCTTTTCAAAGGCCCCCTTTTTTTGGAGACGGAGTCTCTTTCTGTTGCCCAGGCTGGAGTGCAGTGGCATAGTCTCAGCTCACTGCAACCTTTGCCTCCCGGGTTCAAGTGATTCTCCTGCCTCAGCCTCCTGAGTAGCTGGGATTATAGATGCCCCCACAGCAGCCCCGGCTAATTTTTGTATTTTTAGTAGAGATGGGGTTTCATCATGTTGGCCAGCTGGTCTTGAACTCCTGACCTCAGGTGATCTGTCGGCCTCGGCCTCCCAAAGTGCTGGGATTACAGGTGTGAGCCACCTTGCCCGGCCAAACGCCTGTTCTTAATTTTATATTCAGATTGTACATTCATTTCTTAAGGAGGCCCCAAATTATGTAAGCTTCAGGGCCCGTGCAACGGAAGCTGCCTCTGCATCTCACCGTGATCGTCGTGATTGGGAAATGAACTCTTCACTCCTAGCTCCTGGTGTGCCAACTGCCAATCCAACCTCCTCCCTCTGTCCAGTCTCTAGTTCAGTGATGCTTTGGAAATTCTTGCTACTCCTGAGCTCCAATTGAATGCCCAACGGCCTACTAGTCACAGCCACCTGGATGTCCCATCAAGCGTGCAGCGTTGCATGTCCTAAGCTGCACTCATCCCTCATCTGTCACTCCCAGACCTCCTCTTTTCTCAGCGTCCACACTCTGGTGGATCCTGAAGCCTGGGAGTCATTCTGCATTTCCCTCCTTCTCTCTTGGCCTCCCGCTTCTGCCTACAGGTGATCAGTAACACATGCCTTCTCAACATCTTGGTTCCCCTTCTCCATCCTCAAGCCCTGCCAGGTGTGACCTGCCCTACCCTCATCATGTCCTGGTTTCTCAGTCTTGTCCTGGGTTTTTCCTATCCATCCTCCAAGCAGTTTCCAGAGGGTGCTTCTACAACAATGGAAATCTGACACTATACTCCTCAGCTTCAAACAGACCGCAGCCACCACTCCCTATAGAGGAGGCAGTCCTCTTCGCAGAGCCTTCAAGCCTCCAGGAGCCTGCGAGCCCCAACCTCCTCGCCAACTCCTCTCTTCTCACTTGGTGTTCCAGAATGAAGGGCGCTGTGTCCCCTACCCCTGTCACTGGGATTTCAGGCACACTGGCCTCTCCTGCACGCCTCCCCACCCCATTCCTCCATCTGCAAAACTCTTTGCATCCTTGAAGACCCCACTCACTCTCTGCTTCCTCTGTGAGGACTTCTCTTCTCCTTATGCCTAGTTGACGACTGTCTTCTTGAATCATCCCCGACCCTCACACAGAGTCCTATTACACCACTCAGACACTGGCTCAATTATCACACATCTTGGAGGATAGGATTCATGTCTCATCTCAGTGCCCAGTGATGGGCTTGGCACCTAAGAGGTATGCAATAACTGTTCTGTTTTTGTTTCGTTTTTGTTTTTGTTTTTTTTTTTGAGACGGAGTCTGGCTCTGTCACCCAGGCTGGAGTGCAATGGCATGATCTCGGCTCACTACAACCTCTGCCTCCCAGGTTCAAGTGATTCTCCTGCCTCAGCCTCCCCAGTAGCTGGGATTACAGGCATGTGCCACTACGGCTGGCTAATTTTGTATTTTTAGTAGAAATGGAGTTTCACCATTTTGGCCAGGCTGGTCTTAAACTCCTGACCTCAAGTGATCCGCCCACCTCGGGCTCCAAAAGCGCTGGGATTACAGGCATGAGCCACTGTGCCTGGCCGCAATAACTGTTTTTTTTAGCGAATGAATGAATGATGGCTCTGACAGCTTGGTAGTCTGTCCTTAAATTAGGAACGGGCTGGAAAATTCTGACTTTTTCCTCAAAGGCCACAGAAACCCAAGTGATTTTCAATAACAACCCAGTCTGGGTTAGAGCCAATGGCCTGGAAAACTATATTGACCTTTTAACATTTTTAATTCATGGACCTGGATAAGTTCCATTCATTACTGTAAATTCTCTTATTCGATGCCTGATTTTTCATGCCTTTGGCTTCTTACTTTTCCTTATCTTGAAGCCTGTTCTAGCATATTACAATAATAGTTAGAATTGATTGAGTCCTAAATATGCAACCTTTCCTGTGTTTTACATACATCAAGTGCTAGCTCATCACCTCTTCACTCTTCATTATAGCCTCAATTAGAGAAATAAAGAAAGCTTAAACATTTTAATAAATTGAACCAACCAAGTATGAATGCTTATTAGCATGTCTTCTAAAAATCTTAGAGGGAGAAGAGATTTCAACCGCTGGATTTTAATGATCTCTGCTGTAGATCTCAATTATGCACGTCGGCCTTGGTCTTCCACCACTATGGGCAAGAGAGAGCTCAATGTATTGCAGCCAGAATTTTGTTAAAGGCTTTAGGGAGTATTCTTGGCTTTTGCAAGCAGCAAAAACAGTCAGGCAGGTTGAAAAGAGAAAAGTCAGGCCAGGTGTGGTGGCTCATACCTGTAATCCTAGCACTTTGGGAGACTAAGGAGGGCAGATCACTTGAGGTCAGGAGTTTGAGACAGGCCTGGCCAACATGGTGAAACCCCATCTCTACTAAAAATACAAAAATCAGCCAGGCATGGTGGCAGGTGCCTGTAATCCAGCTATTGGGGAGGCTGAGGCATGAGAATCGCTTGAACCCAGGAAGCAAAGGTTGCAGTGAGCCAAGAGCGTGCCACTGCACTCCAGCCTGGGAGACAGAGCGAGACTCTGTCTCAAACAAACAAACAAATGAAAAAAAAAAACAAAAAGAGAATGGTGGTTCTAAAAAGAAAGAGGGAAGAGAGAACTCAGGAAGAAAAGGCACAGAAAATTAAAAAGGCCATGTGGGAAAAAGGCACAGGGAAAACAGGAAGAAAAATACAGGGAGGAGGAGGTATAGATCCCACAATTGAGGAAAACAAAGTCAGAAAAGGTAAGAACAGAGGATCCAGTTAATTTCTTGTTGCATTTAAATGGATAAAGAAAGGCTTTGGAGATAGCCGCAAAACACTCCCTCCACCCACTAAAGAGCCAGGTTCTTCCTGAGTTGTTCCCAGTCAGTAATTCCCCCACCATTTGCTCAGCATCTTGTCTTAGAACTTAACCACCTTACTGATCAATGGAGTGAAAATCCTCCCAACATGGGAACATTTTTTCTTCTATCAATTTAATAAAGAAGCTGGCCAAGGACAGATGTTAACTGGAGAGCCTACAATCCACTCAGATATGTAGTGTGGGTTTCAATCCTATTCGTGGATAAAACAGCTTGGAAAGCAATCTGGAATGACATAATGGCCCAATATTGCTTTCTCTCTGCTAAAGCAAGTGTGGTTTTCATAGGTTTTTAATATGTATTTCAGGGTTTGAACTGCATACCATCTCTCTGTTACTCTCCGCCAGGGGACCTGAATGACAGCACTCACCTCTAAGATATTTTTCCATTATAATTTTCCAATTTGTTCAGGTCTGAAAAGTGTGTGTAAATGAAAACAGAGAAAATTCAAATGCTGTATCCCTTTCAAACATTCCATTTTGGGTTTACAAGGACTTTGCAAACCGTTCTCTGTTTCTCTCCCTCTTCAGCAAATAACCTTATTTTCTGATCACCTTTATTGAGCCAGAAAATATGTGCTGGATTTCCAGGAACCCTTCTCTCTCTTATTTTTCAGCTTTTTCTTTTTTTGTTTTGAGACAGAGTCTTGCTCTGTCAGCCAGGCTGGAGTGCAGCAGGGCAATCTCAGCTCACTACAACCTCCACCTCCCGGGCTCCAGTGATTCTCATGTCTCAGCCTCCCAAGTAGCTGGGATTATAGGCATCCACCACCGTGCCCAGCTAATTTTTGTATTTTTAGTAGAGACAGGGTTCTATCATGTTGGCCAGGCTGGTTAGAACTCCTGGTCTTAAGCGATCCGCCCGCCTCCGGCTCCCAAAGTGCTGGGATTGCAGGCGTGAGCCAGCGTGCCCAGCCTTTCAGCTCTTTTTGACCTGCAATCTCTTCTTTCAGCTCTCCCACCTGCCCTGTCCCAGAAACCTTTGGGAGAACTCAGACTGGCTTCAGGATTCAAGAGAAATGTTACATCATTTTCCCAAAGAACACAGCCCCGCCCGAAATTAAGGAACACGACTGTCCCTCAAAAGTCTCTTTGCCTATCGGCTCTGGGGAGAACTGAGCCAGTCGTCTCACCTTAAGTAATTATAACAGCTTAGGTTTCCTCAGAGACAGGGAGAAAAAAATGAAAAACGATTTACCCGGGGAACTCAGATGGGATTGCTGTGGAGTAATTTGTATACACTAAAATTGGCAGGGGATTGGTGAGCCTTTAGGCTGCATGGCCTTAGCCAAGTAAAACAGACCTTTACGCCTGTTCCTCTCCGGATCTGAGAGGCGTTAAACCCACGCAGGAGACCGCCCTTACCTTTCTTGGCTTCACTTTATCATGGTAGTCATACTGGAAGATCCCTTTGTAGCTCAGGCCCAGCCACCACGGTATGCCCTGCTTGTCCTAGGATATCAAACAAAGTTCGGGTGAACATGGGGCTGGAGGAAGTAAACACACACTAAGTGGAGATTTCCTGGCTTGGGGGCAGACGAGGGAAAGTGCCATTTCCTGGGAAGGGATGGAGCCCACCTGTCTACTTTGTTTATTAACAGATGCGCCCATCATTGAAGGATGCTCTGTTATGTGAAGAGGGTGACATGGGGAATGTTGGGGCTGGGGGCCTGGTTCTGCTAATCAGCTGGACAGCTGAGGTCCTTTCCCTTTATATATAAGGAGTGAATGCCCTGCTCTCTCTCTTTCTCTCTCTCTCTCTTTTTTTTCCTTCTAAAAATTTAGGCATTCCATGCTGGGACACCCTCTCACCACAACTGAAAATCTGTGAGATGTCACACCTAATGAAAGGACCTTCTGGGCCGAGAAACTGTCATCGATGGTCAGAGCCAGAGGAGCCGTGGAGACTATGGAAAGTGACTCCGCTCCTTTTAACAACAAATCACAGCAAAGAGTTGGTCCAGCTTTACCCAGGACCTTCCCCAGCCCCGGGAAACACAGACCGGAAGGTGTCACCCTGAGGTCCTGCTCACCCAAGATGACAGCTGGGTGCCAGGCAGGGTTTCAGGACTCATGCTATTGGACAGGGTAGCAAAACGGAAGCCAAAACCGTCTCAGGACTGAATTAGAAATACCAAGTCCGCTTATTGCTTTTTTTTTTTTTTTTTTTGAGATGGAGTCTCACTCTGTCAGCCAGGCTGGAGTGCACTGGCACAATCTTGGCTCACTGCAACCTCTGCCTCCCAGGTTCACAGAATTCGCCCACCTCAGCCTTCCAAGTAGCTGGGATTACAGGCACGTGCCACCACGTCTGGCTAATTTTTGTATTTTTAGTAGAGATGGGGTTTCACCAATGTTGGCCAGCCTGGTCTCAAACTCCTGACCTCAGGTGATCCACCCGTCTCGGCCTCCCAAAGGCTTGGGATTACAGGCATGAGCCACTGGCACCTGCCCAGCCCCCACCGTTTATTAACGAGAACCTCTGTCACCTGAGTGTAAGTTGCAATTCTATATTCAAATAGGATGATTCTGGAGTTAATTAGAGCCCTCAGAAGCTAGGATGTATAATGAGCATATCAAGCAGCTTTTTCCCTAGCTATGCCCTAAATTGCCAAGTTCCTAAAAAACCTAATACACCCCTCATGGTGGGTGTCTGGAAAACTTGAAACTGGCACATCATGGTTTTAACATATTTGTGGGCATGAGTTATTTCAAGATGAGCAAAAAGATAAAAGGCAAAAAGAGATACATGTTTGAAATTTCTTTTCAAGCTTCAGGGTATATGATTTCTTAAAAACAAACTTTAAAGGTAGTATAAAATCCTCGTATTGAACCCCTGCCTCTGGAAGTAGCTGGCGCGCACTGCACCAGTTTCAGAGAACAGAAACAGAGGAAACCCAATGCCACTGCAACAGCAGATTGACCAGGTAAGAGCTGTCATCACCCATAAAAACGGCATCAGTGAGAATCACAAGGCCCCCCGGACAGGGAGCCCTGATGCAGCTGGCCAGGCCTTCCTGGATTCGTGCCTTTTCCAATAAACACTAAGCCCATTGCTTACGCTTTGAGTTCAAGTGGCAAACACCCATACTTCTTTGGCACTTTGAAAATCCCAAGTCTTTACAAACTGAAATAAAGAGCACAGTTTGAAGGTTTCTTGGAAGAGCAGAAAGCATATATATTCAAGAGACAAGCTTTCTGTTAAGTTCCTAGGGCTGACAAAGAAATGGACACCACAGGCCTGAAACACACTGAAAGACCGGCGTGAAGTTTCCTGTATTGGAAATCGTCTTTCCCCAGCATGCAATCTTCCTGACCAAGTCCTCTGAGACCTCCATTCCCACCAGCAGTTATAAAGAAAAAAATAATGAGGGCCGGGCGTGGTGGCCACGCCTGTAACTCAGCACTTTGGGAGGCCGAAGGCAGGTAGTATCACCTGAGGTCAGGAGTTCAAGACCAGCCTGGTCAACATGGTGAAACCCCGTCTCTACTAAATATAACAAAATGAAATGGGTTTAGTGATGCATGCCTGTAATCCCAGCTACTCGAGAGGCTGAGGTAGGAGAATCGCTTGAACCCGGAAGGTGGAGGTTGCAGTGAGCCGAGATCGCGCCACTACCTCCAGCCTGGCGACAGAGAGGAGACCCCATCTCAAAAAGAAAAAAAAAAAAAGAAAGAAAAGAAAAAGAAAAAAAACATATAATGAGAATGTTTGATTGTTTGTTTAGGGGAAGTTTGGCAACCTTCACCAAATGAGTGCACTCACCTTCACTGCGTAATAGTGAACTCCGTATGTTGGGAGAGACTCCACGATGCTCATGAGTAGCTGGAACGACCAATACGAAGATTACATAAACACACACACTCAATGCACACAAGGCTATTATTCAGCAGATCTGGTATCTCAATATATATATTGTGTATGTTATGGTGATAAAAGTTCCTCGAGTGATATTACTTAAAATAAATACAACATACACCCCCTACTCTCAGATATGTCTTTGGAGAGGAACTGAACAATTCTGACATACGATATATTAACACACACAAACACCGTCCCCACGCAAGCTGGGAAGGGGCCACTTACTTCACGATTGCTTGACCTCTTGTCTGACCGTTCAGTTTCTTGTAGTGCTCAATAACTCTGTCTTCACTGCAATTAGAAGAAAAGAATGCTGTTATCAGAGTCCCTAAGTCAACAGCCAAGCTTCCTGCCAGTAAGATATTTCTCAGCCCCATCTCCTAAGAAGCTCCAGGGCACCAACAGCTCCTGGAAAAATGATTTGTCCTGGAGTGGCATTTCCAAACTCAGTCTGAGTGCTATCTATTTGGATGTAGATTTACTTAAAAAATAGTCTGTTTTCCCCTCAAAGGACTTACATTCTCCTTGTTTTGGATTTCTTTTTGTTTTGTTTTTGAGACGGAGTCTCGCTCTGTCACCCAGGCTAGAGTGCAATAGCGCGATCTTGGTTCACTGCAACCTCCACCTCCCGAGTTCAAGTGATTCTCGTGCCTCAGCCTCCCGAGTAAATGGGACTACAGATGCGTGCCACCATGCCTGACTGATTTTTGTATTTTTAGTAGAGACAGGGTTTCATCATGTTGGCCAGGCTGGTCTCAAACTCCTGACCTCAAGTGATCCACCCACCTTGGCCTCCCAATGTGCTGGGATTACAGGCATGAGCCACCATGACTGGCTTATCTTGGATTTCTAATCAAGAAATATAAGATTGGAGCTCAGGCTGGGTGCAGTGTGTCACCCCTGTAATCCCAATGTTTAGGGAGGCTAAGGTGGGTGGATTGCTTGAGCCCAGGAGTTTGAGACCAGCCTGGGCAATGCAGTGAGACCTTGTCTCTGCATAAAAATACAAAAATGAGCCAGGCATGGTGGAGTGTGCCTGTAGTCCCAGCTAGTTGGGAGGCTGAGGTGGGAGGATTGCTTGAGCCCAGGAGGTCAAGGTTGCAGTGAGCTAAGATTACACCACTGCATTCCAGCCTGGGTGACAGAGTGAGACCCTGGCTCAAAAACAAAAAACAAAGGAACAAAAAGACTGGAGCCCAGGTTTTGGGATCAGCTCCTTGGAAGCAATGGTACCAAGAGAATAAGAGGAAGCAGACAGCAGAGATGACGCGTGGATGCCCAGGCTGAACTCTCTGGGGTCCTTCTTATCCTCATCTTCCCAGTCCTGTCCACACAGGGCCTCATGGGGGGATGGCAGGCATTGACCTTAACCACATGCCCACAGTCTACCTGCTCTGAATGCGTAGTCAGGGATGGAAGGCTTTCCAGGAGGATGGAACGTTCTGGAATTTGGGCCTGGTTAATATGAACCATGAGGCAACAAAAGCTCCATAGGAACACTTGGAGAACAACAGCAAACCAGCTACCAGAATTAGACAGGCGCTCCCTCCCTTTTCGAAATCTTAGTGCTTTTTTTGTTTTTGAGACGCAGTCTCCCTTGTCACCCAGACTGGAGTGTTGTGGTGTGATCTTGGCTCACTGCAACCTCCGCCTCCCAGTTTCAAGCAATCCTTGTGCCTCAGCCTCCTGAGCAGCTGGGATTGCAGGTGTGTGTCACCACACCTCACTAATTTTTGTATTTTTAGTAGAGATGGGGTTTTGCATGTTGGCCAGGCTGGTCTCAAACTCCGGGCCTCAGGTCATCTGCCCACCCCTGCCTCCCCAAGTGCTGGGATTATAGGCATGAGCCGCCGCGCTCAGATGAAATCCTAGTTCTGATATAGCAAGAGGTTAGGTGGCTCCTTGGTGGCAGTGGCAAGCCCGCCCCCTGAGAAGTGACTCTGATGCCCATGGGGTAGGAGATACGGCCGCTCCAACCCCTGCCTTCAGATGGGCGGAGCCAACCTTGGGAATCCCAGGGAAGCAGGTGCAGGCAGAAAGCCCCACCCCCACCTGCTGAGGTGTGGAGTCCAGACACCTCCGCCTCCCTGGTCTGGCCCCAGAGCTTTGGAACCTCAGTTCTCACTCTCCTGTCTTACTTCTCTTCACCCTTCCTGTCCTCCGTCAAAGCTCTGTGAGGGGAGGTGATTCCAGGGGTTTACCCTTGAGATCTCAATAGAGGATCTTTATTATCTATTATTATTGTTTTCGAGACAGGGTTTCGCTCTCTTGCCCAGGCTGGAGTGCAGTGGCATGATCCTGACTCACTGCAAACTCCATCTCCTGGGTTCAAGTAATTCTCCTGCCTCAGTCTCCTGAGTAGCTGGGATTACAGGTGTGCACCACCACGTCCGGCTAATTTTTGTATTTTTAGTAGAGATGAGGTTTCACCACATTGGCCGGACTGGTCTCAAACTCCTGACCATCTGCCCACCTCGGTCTCCCGAAGTGCTAGGATTACAGGTGTGAGCCACTACACGCAGCCCTATTATCTATTATTCATCACCCCAGGATCTACCTAAAGCCTTCTTTTACCCACCTTTTTCTGTTTGCATGTTTAGCACTGCCAGCGTTGCGGGGTAACAGGTTCTACACATTCGTCACCTAGTCTTTGTGAGTAATTTATTTCTCTTTCAATGACTACCTTAACCTCCAACTAGTATCTTTTAATTTTAATATTCTGGAATTTGATGCATAGAGGACAGTGAGCAGTCATGATAAAGAAGGTCTTTATGAATACCCCGAATGAGGACCAGCCAGCTCCAGGGACCCTTGCCTCAGTTGGAGCGTCACTTCCGTGGGGTCTGGGCATCCTCTATTCAGAAAGGGGCAGACCCAGTCATCTCTCTCCTTGGCTCCCACGTGCCGAGGAAGTTCTATGTCAAGTGTGACAAAGTCGTCTCCTGATAAACAATTCTCGAAAAGCATGCTCCCCAAGGACAGGCCCAGCCTCACGAAACCTGCAGAGCTGCGTCAGGAGGTTCGGCGGCTCCACTTCTTTCCATCCCACTCACTAACTCAACAGCTGCCTTGGCGTGTTTCCTACCATGTGATCTGGGGTTTTGTGAGGTCGACTCCTAGATCCAGGGTCAAGCAACTCGGTGTAGATAGGGGCCTTTTTCCTTTGCAGCTCTAGGGAGAGAGGGTCCCTGGGGTGAGCTGAGGAGGTACAAGTCAACATAGCACTGTAGCCACGAACACACAGAAGGCTCAGGAGAAACACCAGTGAAAGAAAGTCAAAACCACTGTCAGAAAGCCACGCCACTGTTTAACGACTACATGTCCTGACCACAGGGTTCTGGGTGGCTGACAGCTGCAGAAATCTTCGCCACCCCCTGTTTGCCCTATAACTGCTGCTCTCTGAGACCATCTGTGAAGCCACAATAGTTGCCTTCTCCATCCTCAGTTTTTTCCTTCTCGTTTTGCCCCCTTAAACATGGTGGGCTTATCCTGGGATAACAGGCTCAATCCTTACCGAGAACCTATTCTGCTCCCAACCTGTCCCCACCTCTGCTCTGGAACTTTCCAGAGGGCTGACGTGCTCCGAGTTTTGCAGACAATTTTCCCAGACCCTAGATTTGTAGCAGGGACTCGAGGGGGTAACTAGCAGAAATCCAGGAAGCAGAGTAAGCACTGTCTGGATGACTCAGGGTTACATGGAGGAGAAAGGCAAATGACCAAAGCTGCCTGTGCCCGGGTCACTGGCTGGGTCATATTGTTAAGTCAAATGACCTCTCTGCAGACAAGGGGGTACAGGAAATGCATGGGTGATGGAAGGGGAAATAGAGATGGTGATATATGGTTCCCTGTCTCGGAGCAGCTGCTGGCCTGCTGTGCTCAGTGGTTTTGGGGTGAAAAAAGATGTCCCTGCATACCTCACTGAGGTGGTAGGGGTGGTCAGGTGGTCCAGCATTTACAAACTGGGCCTGCGAGGGAGAATCCAGGTTAGGGTACTGATCCCTCCTTGTTCTGTGGCCTTGGGCACATCATTCTAACTTTCTGCCTCCGTTGCCTCCTCAACAGGGAAATCGCATGGTGTGAAAAGTCCATGCTTGTTAAATGTGCGGGGAGCATTAGCAGAAAGGCTTCTTGCACCATGACTCAGCATTATTATGCTGCTTTCACTGCTTTTTAATGACATGAGGTGACTATGTATTTCCTCTCTTAATTACTGTCTGAAGTAGGTTGGTGTGTGTCATCCCATTTTGCAGAGGAGAAACTGATGAAAGCTACCTGGCTAGTCACTGCGGAGGCTTGGCTGGGATGCTAAGACCCACTGCCTTGGTCACCAGGCTGCAGCCTGCAGGTTGCCCATCCAAAGTGTGAACTCCAGCAGGGGCAGGAGAGCCCCCGAAGAATGGTGAGTACACCTCCTTAGTTCAGGAATGATCAGGGGAACTGGACACTCTGGGCAACTGTGATGAGAGGGGTAAAAAGGTCTCCCCCACCAGTGAGGGGTCCTGGTTGACCTTGCTGAGTGTTGATTCTGAGACCCAGAGGGAAAAGCAGCGAACAAGCTGTGTGCACCTGCTCCCTCTTCATTCTCTATCTGTATGAAGCAGGGACAGCACTTATCCCTCTCCTTGCAACTTTGCTTTTTAAAAATCTATCTATACATAGGGGTACAAAAATACAGTTAGATAGAAGGAATATGTTCTAGTATTTGATCGTACAGTAGGGAAACTATCGTTAACAATAATTTGTTGCATATGTCAAAGTAGCCACAAGTGAAGATTTGTAATGTTCCCAACACAAAGAAAAGATAAATGTTCGAGGCGATGGATAGCCCAGTTACCCTGATTTGATCACCGCACATTATGTACAGATATCAGAGTATATATACATGAAAAATATGTACAACTATTATGTATCAATAAGAATCAAAGTCCATATAAATAAGGTTGAAATATTAGAGCCAACACCAAGTAGCCAACCACGGTGAAATGAGGTGGAAGAATCTGTTGTGGTTGTGATTGTTGTTTTTCAGCAGGGTATTGTCAGGAGGGTCCCTGTCATTGACTTTTATACATCGTCTGGATTGTGATGCTGACTGAGTGGCACATGGCTCCCCCATCCTGCCACGCTCTCGGGACATTTAACACTGGCTTGGGCACTTATGGGTCTGAAGGAGTCTCAGGGAAAGTGCTGGCCTGGTCATGATGGTATGGGATGTTCTGCCAAGCCAGCTATAGGTGAAGATGTTTATACAGAGAAGAGACAGAGAGAGTGTGTGTGAAGGGCGAGGTGCCTGTGGGTTAGTAATCCTGTGTGAGCACAGAGCAGATAATGGAGAAGGTGAAGGAAAAATCCAGAGACACAGGGAGGAGAGAAGAAATTCAAAACTCTCAGATGTGTATAGCGGTGTTCTAAGGTTTGGAAAGGAATGAATGGGTGACTGATGGACACACAACAGGACAAGTCTCAGAGGCGAAGAGATTCCTCCCTGGTCCTCTCTAGTTACCTGCTCACACCCTCTGGGCCTTGACCATTGGATTTTTGGAAGTGAACAGCCAGGAGGCTACAGAGGGATGAGGCCCAGTGGCACAAGGAATTAGGGAGGTGGGTAATAGGGTCCGTGAACAAGGAAAAGGGACCATCATTTTTGGGCATTCGGATTGCAAGTCTCAACATTTGGAAACTGACGCGTGCAAAATCCCTGCAGGTTAAACAGATTTTGCTCTTTGGGGGCAGGTTATAGTTAGAGAAAGTCATTATCTATTTACATTTATGTTTCCAAAAGAGGAGTGGCAATAAAACAGCTCTGGGAGATGAAATTAGGGATGCCAGACACGGAAGGGAGCTCACAGCCTCGGGCCTGGGCACCAGCTCCCTAGCGATGTGGTCTCTCAGAGAGATGTGATTTATGAGCCAGAGTTGTTTTTTGTTTTGTTTTGTTTTGTTTTGTTTGAGATGGAGTCTCACTCTGTCGCCAGGCTGGAGTGCAGTGGCACAATCTTGGTTCACTGCAACTTCCAACTCCTGAGTTCAAGGGATTCTCCTGCCTCAGCCTCCCAAGTAGCTGAGACTACAGGCACGTGCCACCATGTCCAGCTAATTTTTTTGTATTTTTAGTAGAGACGGGGTTTCATCATGTTGGCCAGGATGGTCTCCATCTCCTGACCTCGTGATCTGCCCGCCTCGCCCTTCCAAAGTGCTGGAATTATGAGCCAGAGTTTAATGCTGCTAATGAACCCTGCATCAAGACATGTCCCACCCCAGCCAAAGGAATCTCTTAGCCACCCGAATCAATGAACAACTAGGTCACTGTCTGGATAAGTGTCCAGAGAAGATGAAATGCTCATAATCCGTATTTTTCAGAAACTGTCATCAAAAGCACTGACACAAGTCACGTGTTGTAGTTTATTAGAATTGACTTGGTCTGTGCTTTTTGTTTTGCTTTTAAATAAAAGGAGTTGCAGTGATTTCTGTTAGGGAATCAGAAGGAACATCAGAGAGCAGTATTGCAGTTATCAAAGGGCAGTGGCCAGGGCTTAGGAACCCAGTGGGATTTCAAAACATTATCCAGGAATGCAAGCCCTGCCCAACTGTGGCCCAAACCACAATCTGGGAGCCTTTCAAATGCTGGAATCATTCAGAATCAGTCATTTAGGGCCCGACAGATGAGCTACGGCATAATGTTACATAGTGGCTACATCAGGAGATAGGAAACATCGAGGGAAAATAAAAGAATCAATCTCTCTTTTCTGAAAGAAAAAGTCCTGTGGTTCTCCCACATCTCAAACCTCGACATGCTGTCATCAAATGACAGGTGTTCCAAAATGAAACTCTAGCAGCACACGAAAGGCTCTTCAAGGTGGCAAAGCTTCCAAAGTGAAATTTTAGAAGGTATTCTTTTTGAAAATTGAAAAAAAAAAAAAGAGAGAGAAGAAACAGAAAAGGAGAGGTCTCACGCACAATGCTTCACTTAAGTAAATGCAGAAAACGGGTGGGGTGTGGTGGCTCACGCCTGTAATCCCAGCACTTCGGGAGGCCGAGGCGGCCGGATCACCTGAGTGAGGCCAGGAGTTCGAGACCAGCCTGGCCAACATGGTGAAAGCCCGTCTCTACTAAAAATACAAAAATTAGCCAGGTGTGGTAGTGTGTGCCTGTAATCCCAGCTATTCAGGAGGCCGAGGCAAGAGAATCGCTTGAGGCACAGGTTGCCATGAGCTGAGATCATGCCACTGTATTCCAGCTTGGGTAACAGAGCGAGATCTGTCTCAAAAAAAACAAACAAACAAAAAAATTAATTAATTAATTAAAAAAATAAATAAATGCAGAAAATGATTTCATGAAGACAGAAGGTACTTCACACAGCGGCGAGTCCAGGCTGGCACGTGGGAGCTGGTAGAGGGAGGGTATATTCAGTTGTCCTGTGTCCCCTCGCACTCCGAGAGGGGCTCGCTCCTGGGGAAGACGCCAGGGGTCTTACCAGTAGGCCAGGGAAGGGTGCTCCTTCAGGGCTTGGGTGGGAAGGGCTGGCAGCTTCTTCAAGTCACTCCTCACAACTTCATTGCTGAAAGAGACAATGACCAGAAATGCACTCACCCTCTGAGGACATAACTGCACTCTCTGATACCACTTGGGCCGCTGCCTTGTCTGAGAGACCCCACATCTGCTTCCCTGCTAATCAAAAGCAGTGGGAGGAAGGGGCACTCTCTTTTTATTTCCTTAATACAGATGTAAACGAAGGCAGACACGCCAAGCCCAGTAACCACCTTTCACCGTGCAGAAAGCAGGACAAAACACCTCCAGATGGCCAGGGGTGTCTTCCCAAACTCTGCTCTCACAGACCGGCACAGACTGAACGCCCCTGAGCAGCCCTCAGCAGGAATTCGGGGAGAAGAAGGGTCCCCAGGGGTCCCCCAGGGCAGGATCTTAGGAGAAGCGCCCCAGAACCCCGCCGTTAGGCTCACATTGCTCCGAGAATGGGCAATGGCGTGCTGTCTCCGTAAGAGCGTTTGCTCTGCTAATACACAAAGCTGGTTTTCACGGTTTATGTTGACCACATGCTGGAAACTGTTTTCTGAAATATGATGAATAAATACTGATGGAGTCTCCTTTATCTGAAATGCTCGAGAGCAAAAGCGTTTCCGATTCCAGATTTTTTTTTCAGATGTTTGACTAGTTGCATTTATATACTTACTGGTTGAGCCTCACAAAACCTGAGCATCTGAAATCCGAAGTGCTCTAATGAGCATTTCCTTTGAGCGTCATGTCGGCACTCAAAAAGTTTCAGAGTTGGAGTTCGGATTTTCAGATTAGGGAGACTCAACCTGTAACTTTTGCTTTTGAGGAGGCTCAGAAACTACTTAGAAAGTGTGAACTGCATTGTCTGGGCCAGGCTGAGCATCCCGTATCCCAAAATTCCAAATCAGAAATGTGCCAAAATCTGAAACATTTTGAGTGCCAACATGACGCTCGAAGGAAATGCTTACTGGAGCACTTTGGATGTTGGATTTTCAGATTTGAGGATGCTCAACCAGTTGGCATATAACACAAATATTTCCAAACCTGAAAGAAATCTGAAACACTTCTGCTCCCAAGCATTTGGGATGAGGGAGATTCAACCTTGTACCATCAGGTGGTTTTATGCGTCTGGTCCTGAAATCAGAAATTCTTTTCCCCGTAGACTCACACATGCTTAGGTTTGGAAGATGCTTTAAACTCCCCTAGCTTAGCCAGCCTTCTTCAGGTGCCTGACTCCTCCCTAGACACTCAGCAGGTCTGCATCCCCTCTGGGCTGGACCATCTGTGGCATCTGCACCCACCTACTACCTCCAGAGTAACAAGCGGCAGCCACTTTGGGACAGTTTTGATACTGAAAGAGCGTTTCCCTATCCTGGTCCACCAAAGAGCCTTGGAAGCCTTAGCCGGGGTTGCAACGGCACATGTAGGAGAGTTCTGCCTTTGATTTGCCGTCCTGACTTGGGCTACGTGAGCAGCTTCGAGGTTGCTTATACTAACCAAGGCAAATACTGGCCACCAGGACACTGGGCAGTGCCATGTAAAAAGAAATGAAACAGGTACAACTGTTTCATTTTTAGCAATGTTTTTCATTTTTTGCAATGTTTTTGATTGCTAAAAAGGAATGAAAGAAGGTATAACTCTGAAGGAAGGAAGGAATACCGCAGCCATAGAGGGGAATTCCTCAGGTGCTTGGATGGTGGACACTCCAGCACCCATGCTGTTAACTGGAGGATACATTGTTCCCTGTGTCCCTGGCAAGAAATACAGCCAAGGGCAGTGCAATGAGCAGCATCACCAATGGATGCCCAGTACCACTGGGCAAAACCACACCAATACACCACTACATTACGTCTGTGCGTGGTGATAAAGAAACACATGGAGGTTTGGTGACATTAGAGCGCTCCCAGAAAAAGCATTTTTCTGTTGCCCTAAGAAAGAACAAGGCCAGGCGTGGTGGCTCATGCCTATAATCTCAGCATCTGGGGAGGCCGAAGTGGGAGGCTCACTTCAGTCCAGGAGTTGAAGATCAGCTTGGGCAACATAGTGGGACTCTGTCTCTAGAAAATTAAAAAAATTAGCCATGCACAGTGATGCATGCCTGTAGTCCTAGTTACCCGGGATGAGGCTGCAGTAAGCTGTGATTGCAACACTGCACTCCAGCCTGGGTGACAGAGGGAGACCCTCTCAAGAAAGAAAAGAAAAAAAGAAGAGAAAAGAGAAAGAGAGAGAGAGAAAGAAAGAGAGAAAGAAAGAGAGAAAGAGAAAGAAAGAGAGAGAGAAAGAGAGAAGGACAGAAGAAGAGAGAGAAAGAGAAGGAAAGGAAAGGAAAGCAAAGGAAAGCAAAAGAAAGGAAGGGAAAGGAAGGGAAAGGAAAGAAGGAAGAAGGAAGGAAAGAAGGAAGGAAAGAAAGAAAGAGAAAGAAAGAAAGAGAGAGAGAAAGAGAGAAAGAGAGGAAGAAAGACAATGACCATGACCAGTGGTGTTGGTGAATCCTGGCTTCATATGACCAACTAGAGGGAAAAGCTCAAAGTGGAACTGTTTGAATCAATCCATCCAAGTACTTGAACTGTTAGAATCTAAATGGTAAGGCCAGGACAGATCAATTGATAATCAATAAGCTGAAGGTGTTTATGAAGCCCCTGCTATTACATGGAAAGAATTGTAGAGGATATAAAAAATGATGAGATATGGTCCTTAACCAGAAGGTGCCCACGATTTAGTTGGGAAGGCGAGAGGAACACCTACAAAGCTCACTGACCACAGGGGTGATGTGTGATCATGTCAATCCAAACAACAGACATGAAAGCTCAGAGGAAATAACAGCCCCCTTGGGCTCTGATGTAAGACTGGCTTTGGGGGAGGCCGTGCATGAATAAAAGGATAGGAATATCACTTTTATCCTGAGTGGAACACAGACAGACATGGGGGCCACATAAACTGAAGAAATCCATCAGAGTAAGCGGAATGTCAGGGGCAATATGCTGAAAAGGGCAGGTCAGGAAGAGAATTGTGAAACTTTAATGCCAGGCTAAGAGGGTTCAGCCTCTCCTGGGTTTGATCCAGAAGGCAGACAGCAGGACAGCCCCTGGTGGTTTTCAAACGGGCAGACTCCTAGTGTTCAGGAAAATTCAATTCCAACCCCAAGTACAGTCGGTAATTTTTACGCACATGCTATAAAGGCATAGTTTCAGCAAATATTCAATTCACCAAACATGTGAGCGCCCACATTGATGAATTTCCAGATCTTCTCTCCCGGCTTCATGGTACGTTCCCTGAGAAAAGGGATTTGATTTATTGGTCCATCAGCACACAGAGGGCTGGCTTCAATGTGAAAGGCACTTTTCTCAGATCAACTTTATTGGATGAAACCATGAGAAAGGCAATTAGTGACTCCCTGAAGGAGTTGAAACTTGAGTTTGGGTTTACTCACACCCATCACATCGAAAGTGTATTTGGGGAAGGAAGGAGCTCCAGGAGGAAGGGATCGTTTTACCCATCAAACCCTTGCTTGTTGGCAAACACGTTGCCCTGATGACAGCCACAGGTTTGATTTCCTCGCTGAAGCCTGCAGTGGGTTCTCTAACTCTGCTCCAGGGCAAGGTTACACACAAAAAAATCTAACAAGAAATCACCAAGGCATGAAGCTCGTCTAAATCCATTATATTCTGGAAGGGATCCATGGCCCTTCATCCTTCCCTGAGGACAAATCTGTAGAAATGTTCTGTTTGCTTTTCTGCTGTTTATAAACATCTGCAATAACTTAGGGGTGTCTAGCCCTGTCAATCCAGCCAAACTCTGTGGCTGAAAATCAGAAAGCTCCCCTAACAGGAAACTTGGTCACTCTACCCCCAGAGACTTGCAAGGCTGTGGCCTGACGAATGTTCTAGAAGTTCATACTTCCTCCCTCAATGTCTTCCACTTTGACGTTTTCCCCAGAGTTCATGGCATGTGATAAATGCCAACTTATAAAACAACTTAAGACAGTTCATTGTGGCTGCATTCCATTTTTAGAAAAATGCAAAAAAGAGCTGGATGTGGTGACTCATGCTTGTAATTCCAGCACTTTGGGAGGCCAAGGTGGGAGGACTGCTTGAGCCCAGGAGTTTGAGACCAGCCTGGGCAACATAGCGAGACTCCATCTCTACAAAAATAAAAATATAAAAAATAGCCAGGTGTAGTGGTTTGCACTTGTAGTCTCAGCTGTTTGGGAGGCTGAAGTGGGAGGACTGCTTGAGCCCAGGAGTTTGACATTACAGTGAGTATGATCATGCCACTGTTCTCCAGCCTGGGCAACAGAGGAAGACCCTGTCTCAAAAACAAAAAGAATAGAAAAGAAAAAGAAAAATGCAAAAAGGTCTCTTGAAGAGTCAGTTGCTAAACTGAGAATAACATTTAAGTCTTCCTATCTTTAATATTAAGCAGCTTTTATTAAAAACTCTCCGGCAGGTATGAATGTTGTCAGGATAAATGTGGTGTCAGTGCTGTACTGGGCTTCGATTTAGTGGTTTTTTTGTTTGTTTGTTTTGTTTTTTCAGATGATGTGCTTGTCTTCTACAGCCTATACTCCTCATTAAACAAGGAAAGTTAGAATGATCTACTGGGGAAAAACAAAGATTTCTAGCAATATATCAAATAGAGAATTTGCCGCAGTGAACCACAACAAATTTAATCAAGATACCACAAAGTGAAGGGAGCAAAAATTAAAACTGAGAGAGAAGGATGAGCAAAATCCACAATGTGTTTGCTTTTCTTTAAAAAAACCTGGAAATAACTTTTTCAAGAAACTCTCCTTGGGTCAAATGAGATGTATGTAATTTGTGGGAGAAACTTTGGGCGAATAGAGTAGGCTTAGTATGAAAGAATTCTTCCTAATACCAGTTGTTTCTGTCTGCACTGGTACAAAAACAGCAGAGCACAAAACCCAGAACGTGATGCTAGCTTAACAGAAAGGAACAGCCTGCAATTCAGAAAGAGTAATATAATGCTAGCGTCGGCCTAACTCCTCCATATTTTATGAGCAGATCATGAAGGCCAACTTCTCAGGAG